TCTTCAGTATCCCAGCCTGCCACAGAGAGAGCCCAGAGCCTCGCAGCCTCTCCAGAAAGCTGGCTGAATGTCTCTATGTGGCCCGACCCTGACATTTGACCTGGAGAGAGTCTCCTATGATAGATGCAGACTGCAGAACTCAGCTCCCTAAAGAAACAGTCCCCAGGGCATAGGAACATGCACTGTGGGCAGGGTCAGTCAGTAGCCAGGAAGCTGTGGCATCTGCTCCTTGCTCTGGACAGGAATTCCACATTCTATGGCCGCCCAGCTGAATGCACCTGCTGAAGGCCTGTCGGCACTGCTGCTGGAGCTGCTCTCCAGTGGGAACAGGGCGGCCCTGAGTACTGTTGCCATGGATGTGAGGACTCCCAGAGCCTGGGGTGTTGTGGGTTTCCTGATGGTCCCTCTACCTTTGCCGCCTGTGTATCCTGAGAAAGTCACTTTCATCTCTCTGAGAAATGGGTCAGACAGTTTTCTCAGCCCTTTCCTCCTCAAGCAGCAGTTTCTTCTTTTTCTCCTCCTCCTTCTCCTCCTTCTCCTCCTTCTCCTTCTTCTCCTTCTCCTTCTCCAGATTTATTTTATGTGCATTGGTGTTTTGCCTGCACATATGTCTGTGCAAGGATGCCAGATCCCCTGGAACTGGAGTTCCAAACAGTTATGAGCTGCTGCTGCTGTGTGTGCTGGGAATTGAATCCAGGCCCTCTGGAAGGGCAGCCTGTGCTCTTAACTGCTGAACCATCTCTCCAGCCCTCAGGCAGGTTCCACTGAGAGACAAAGGAAGGCCAGAGCAGTAGAGTTGTGTACTCTGAGGTGCTCTGGGGAGGCTGCAGGGAACCATGCTGTCCCCTCCCACTGAACCCTCCAAACACTGCTGTTCTACACCTCAGCTGGGTATCTTCTCCAACAACCAGTCCCGCTGTCCTTCAGAAAGGATTTCACAATGCTTTCCCACTGGGCTCCTATGGACCATGTATCCTGTGGTCAGAGCTAGGACTGCATGCGCGCGCGCGCGCGCACACACACACACACACACACACACACACACACACACACACAGGCCTGAGCATGTTTTCACCTCACAGGCCCAAGCCGGGCTTCTTCACTCATGGATTCTCACGGATCATCCTTGTGTTTTCACCCCTTTGTTTTCACTTATCCCACGCAAGAAGTGATCAGGAAACAAATAGAGACCCAGGCTTCTAATGGTGGGTGACTTTAAGCTGTTTTTCACACAACAGCAGGGGTTGTTATGAAGTGAGCAAGCAGAGGCTTAGGCCTCCCTGTTCCTGTACTCTGAGATACCCCCCCCACTCTCTCCCCCACTCGCCCCAGCCTTGTTCACAGTTGGCAGGTACCCTGGCCAGACCTCTCCCTGTGTTCTGCAGTCATTGACACTGACAGTTCACATTTGTTCCCTTCCTGTCTTTTGTTTGCTATAATGGGATCGTGCAGTATGAATTCTGCATGATGTTAGTCTTATTCACGCCTTTGTGTAAATCCAGAAAATCCACTTCATTCTTCTTTTACAGCACAATAGTGAGAGAATTCTTCAGGATGTCTGACAATGGGCTGGGGATTCAGCTCAGTGATAGAGGGATGCTGCCTGGAGAGTGACTGTGAACATTTTCAGC